TCATGATTACAAGAGGACTACTTTAGATCATTGTGCGTTTGTGAAGAGATTCTCAAATGGCGACTTCATCATTTTGCTGCTTTATATGGATGACATGTTGATAGTTGGACATGACACGAGCAAAACTGAGAAGTTGAAGAAAGAGCTTAGCAAGTCCTTTGCTATGAAGGATTTGGGTCCTGCGAAGAAAATACTTGGCATGAAGATTACCCGTGACAAGAAGAATTGTAAGATTTTGCTGTCACATGAGAGATACATTGAGAAAGAACTTGAAAGATTTCACATGGACAAGGTGAAATTAGTGAGTACTCCACTTGCAAATCACTTCAAACTTAGCTTGAAGCAGTGTTTAGCAAGTGAGAAAGAAAAAGAAGAAATGAAGAAAGTTCCCTATGCATCCACCATTGGTAGTTTGATGTATGCGATGGTGTGCACCAGGCCAGATATAGCTTATGCGGTTGGCGTTGTGAGTAGATTTCTTTCCAATCCTGGAAAAGATCATTGTGCTGCAGTGAAATGGATTCTTAGGTATCTTAGAGGCACTTCCAAGATGCGTTTATGTTTTGGAGAAGGAAAATCTCTGCTAGAAGGCTCCACAAATGCAGACATGGCTGGAGACATCGATTTTAGGAAGTCCACATTAGGGTACTTGATGACTTTTTCAAGAGAAGCTATTTCTTGGCAGTCAAAGTTGTAAAAATGTGTTGCTTTATCTACCACGAAAGTTGAATACATCGCAGTAGCAGAGGGATGCAAGGAGATGTTATAGATCAAAAAAGACTTTTACATGAATTGGGGTTAAAGCAAGAGAAATATGTTGTCTTATGTGACAACCAAAGTGCTATCCACTTGAGCAAGAATCCGACATTTCACTCGAGGTCAAAGCACATTGATGTGAGGTATTATTGGATACGTGATGTCTTAAAAGAAAATTTGCTTTAACTTGAGAAGGTTCACAGCGATGAGAATGGGTCAGATATGATGACTAAATCGTTGTCCAAGGAGAAGCGTGATTTTTGTAGAACTAAGGTGGGGTTGGTTGTGCCCCCCACCTAAGTCGGGAGGGGGAGATTTGTTGAGTGGGTCCCTCCTTAATTGGGTGGGTCACACAAAGACTCTCTAGAGTCAATATTATTATTATATATATTCGCTTGTAAAGCTTCTCAAAGAAGCTTTAGTTTGTATTTGCAAGTCAAAAAATGAAAAAGAAGTAAAAGAGGCTTTTGTCTTTAATGTTTTGCACATAGCAACAAAAAGAAACAGAGGAGCCGAGAGAGAGAAGTGAAAAAGAGGAGAAAAACTTAGGGTTTCTTCCGTAGTTCAAATCAAGATTGGATAGTCATTTCTTGCCAAATCTTGATGAAATTTCAGCATGTTGATCATGAAAGCAAGCTCTACATTTTGATCGAAGTTGATCTTGTCAAAGCTCTCTTGGATTGGTCGTTTAGGATATCTACTGTGGTAAGACCTAAACTTTATCTTTTATTAATTTTGTTGAAACTCACCTTTGTAGTGATGATATAATTGTTGATTAGCAATCCAAGAATATTCTCTTGATGATTGTATGCTTGTAGTTGTGACTAGAGATAATATCTTGTAGCCATATTATTTTATATTGGAAGTTGATTCAAAATTGGACCAGTGGATGAAGACAATTTTGCGTGAATTTGGTGTTTTGTGATTGTTTTTGTGCCTTTAATTTTAGTCATATTATTGTTTGTATTTTGTGATTTATTACCTATTTTTTAATTATATAAGGAGAGAAAAATATAAGAGTTTTTCCACCACTTTCATGTGATGACGTACAGATAATTCAACATTTAACTATTTTGATTTTGATTGCAAAAAGTATAGATATAGGTACTGTGACACTGACTTACATTGCATGACTAGAAAGTAGAATTTTGAAATTTGCTCGAAAATGGCGTTTACTTGAGAAGTGTTTGGTAACGTATATTTTTAGTTCATGTTTTTTTATAAATTTGTAAGGGTAAATTACATAAATAGTCTTTGTAGTTTGGGACTTGTGTCACTTTGATCCCTGACTTTTCAATTATGATACATTTGATTCTAAATTTTAAATCTTGTTCCAAATAAGAAAAATTGAAGATATCATTAGATTTTTCAAGGGTAAAATTGTTAATTTAATAAAATATAAAATAATTTGACAAAAATAAATGTCAAACAAATATTTTTGAATTTTTAAAAATTATTTCTATCCACTAAAACTAAAATTATGCAAAATTGATAAATCTTTTAGACATTTATTTTTTTTTACCATATTAATTTTTATTATGTGTTCGGATATGATCATGTAAAATTAATTTAAAAAAATTAATCATGTAATTTTTATTAATTTTACATAATTTTATCATTGGTGGATAAAAATAATTTTAAAAAAATTAAAAATATTTTTTTGACATTTATTTTTGTCAAACTAGTTTATATTTTATCAAATTGACGATTTTACCCTTGAAAAATCTAATGACATTTTTAATTGTCCTTATTTGGAACTACATTCAAAATTTAGGGTCAAATGTGTCACAATTGAAAAGTCAGGGACCAAAGTGATATAAGTCCCAAATTATAGGGACTATTAGTGTAATTAACCCAATTTGTAATTAGGTTTTTGTTTACATGTTGAAAAATAAAAATTACAAATATGTTTGATTTGAACAAAATATTTGATAGTTTTTAAAAGCCAAAAAAAAAACTTGTTTGTTAAGGTCTTAAATATTTGTGTACTAGTGGGTGTGTATACTCACCCCATAAGTGTGTTTTTAAATCTCTAAAATATACATTTAGATTTTGATTTAAAAATAAATATGTTATGTATTGCTTAAGTGAAAAAGATATTTTTTTTCAAAACCAAAGTATTAAGTTCAAGTTCTATCTTTCTCTTTATATAAAGACCAACTATAAATGTATTTCGAAAAAACTCAAATATAGGACATTTTTGTGTCAACAACAGTTACCAACATTTTTTAAAAAAAAAAAAATTGAATTACCAACAAATTAAAAATATAAAAGGTATTTTGAAAAAGGGACTTTTATTGATAAATCTCATTTAGAAGTGTTCGAACCCAAGAAGTCTATGAAGGAATTTTTTTAACCCACTTAGTCCCATGTATTTTTATTTTTATTCCATAAAGTCATTTTCCTTGATTTACACTTTTTTTTAGACTCTTATACCATTATATTTAATATTGATAGGAGGAGAGAGAAGGAAAAAGATCAAGGCATAGGAAATTTCATATACAAATAAAATAACATTGATGTTATTATTTTATATTATTATATAATGTGAATATATTTTTAATTGACAACACATTAAAAATAATATGAACATTCTCTCTCATCTGATGTGAATATATTTTTAATTGACAACACATTAAAAATAATGTGAACATTCTCTCTCATCTGACGTGAACGTTCACAACACCTTTCCGAAAAATTCTCTTTCATCTAATATAGTGATGTGAACGTTCACAATATGTGAACCTTCTTACTTTTAATTGACAACACACTAAAAATAACGTTTATTATATTTTTAATCGACAACACATTTTTATTCACAACATGTAGTATATGAACGTTCACAACATATGAACATTCTCTCTCATCTAATGTAGTGATGTGAACGTTCACAATCGTATGTTTTAGTATAAGTATTCACATCATGTAATTGACAATATAATGACAAAAATTTATTTCAAATTAATGTGGATATAATGATGTGAATATTTATTTCAATTACATGATGTGAATATTCACATCATATAATTGACAACACAATGACCAAAATTCATTTCAAATTAATATAAATATAATGACAGTTAACATCTTGATACATGGGAACTATCAAAACATAATGACAATCAACCTTAAATATCAACATTAATAGGGAACTTGAGAGATTGAAGGTATTTTGATCTGACTTAATGGAATAATAAAAAAGAATATGGATTAGATGAAATAAAACTCTTAGAAAGAGAATTTATCAAAAAAGCTTCCTTTGAAAAAACTCCAAATATAAAACATTCAAAAATGATTTGGACCACTAAAAAAAGACCTCTAATGCATCTCTAATTTGTCTTTTTCTTCCCTCTTTTTTGTCTTTTACTTCACTATTTATTTCTGTTTTTTTTTTCTTTTTTTTTTTTTATATAGGTGATAGCTCATTAGAGCTGCACTGTTGCAGCTCTAATTAGAGCTCCGGAGCATGACCCTAAAACATTTTGTGTCAACAACCAACTATAATATTGGCGACCCATTTAGTTGCAATATAATTTTACTAATAAACCACATCTTACGCAAATATATACATATATATATTATTTTTGCATAATTGTATTATTATTAATTATTTTTAAATTATATCGACTCAATCTTATAAAAAAAAAATTAAATAATCATCCCTCTACACATGAAACATTGAATCAAAATATAAAATTAAAACTTTTAGATAAAAAAACAAAAACATTAATTTCTAATAATTAGTATCAATTACAAATCCTAGTGTGTATAAATAAATAAATAAAATGTAGAGAAAGAATCAACAAGCGACTCAATCACATTTAGCCTCCGTTTGGCAAGTTGGGTTAGGGGGCTTTTTTTACTATTTTAGTCACAAAAGACAAAATAGGTTATTTTAGTCACAAAAAATAAAACATCACATCCAATCCATAATCATTACACTCTTCTCTCACAAAAAAAGTCAAAAAGTCCTTCCCAAACCAAGCTTTTTAGCCCAGGCTAAAATAGACAAAAACAAAAACAAAAAAAAAACAAAAAGCCAACCCACTTAGTGAGAAAAATAATTTTTTTTAATTTTTAATATCGTTCTATCATGGACGTTTTTAATTACTGTCAAATCAAACTCATACAACAAAAATATTTATATATATTTTTATCTTAATTTTCACTTTTATACTAGTAAAAATTGATTTTGCATTTTATAATTTTTTATAAAAAATTTGTTAGTATTTATTAGTCGCCAATAAAAATCTCAAGTCCCTGATAAACATGTCACTTGTACTACAAAATCGAGAAGCTAAAAGATAATTAATCTCCCTTAGTATACACTGATCAGATAAGTTGACAGCCCAGACATTGAAATTAAAACCCAATCCCAATTAGTTTTCAATTTCCAGCTAAAAACTATTATGCTCCATTAGTTTTGAAGAAAATAGACTTCCCACCATAGCTTGCAATCTCTCAGCTGGAATATTCTTTAGGAAGATTTTTTCAACAGGTTGGGTTTGTGTCTGAATTTAATTACTGGTGCTGTCACCTCCAAGCTCGGCCTCAAGAAATCCAGTCTTATTGAGGTGGTTAACGTCGCCCCATGTTTTTATGATCCATTCTTCTTGTTTGGATAAGTGAAATAGATTAACGGACGCGTTAAGAATCTTCCTCTGCAACTGTTCTGTTGGAGCAGCTCGCTTGTGAAGTGCTCGGATGACTCCACCATGAGTAACTACTACTACTCTCTCACCTGCAATGGAATATACAAAACAAATTGGAAACAAAAAATGGAATGCATTGGGCCAAAGCACCATCTATCCACCTTAAAAAAAACTTGCGTACGAGGAGGTATTGTCCGCAAAACTTTTTGATAAACAACACAGAATTTGTATGAATGTAACTATGTTTCAATTAAAATGAAGAGAATTGCTACTCCCATCATTGTGTGAAAAGAACTAGGATGCATTATGAACAATTAAGTCAATGTGAGAAAAGAAGCCCAAGAGCAGCAATAATTGTGAAACTTTACCTGTATGCTTCATACCAATACTCTGCAATGAAGATGTGCACCGGTTAAAGAGTTGGTCAAGACTTTCTCCACCACCCTGAAAATCACAAAAAGTGGGATTCTGATGGTACCGTACTAAGCACACCTTAAAGCAAGATAGAGTTCATAAATGCACTAACTAAACATTTCTGATTTCTCCCCCAAGGTTTTCCAAGATAGATATTGAAATGGAAAAAGAAACCAACTTTGATTTTAAAAATCCAATCAACAACCATACTTTGAACTTGGTTTAATTGCTTACTGGGATTTCCTGATCAGTCCTGGCAGACAGAGATGCTAGATATGCATCTGGCCTAAGCTTGGCTGCTTTATGAAATACAAAACCTTGAAGATCTCCAAGATGTCGTTCCCTCAGATTTGGGTCTTGTATAACCTAAAAACATAACAAGAAAAAAATTAAAACAAAATGTGCATGTCTAATTTTGCCGGTCTTGAGAAGCATGTCTAGCCCGTTCTATTTCATAATACTCCTATAATTTTATCCACCCGCAAACCTCACCCCAAAGGTTTTGCTTATTTAGTCAAGTTCCATAGTTTTATTCTTAATCAAGTTTAATCACCTTAACTTCCAAAGCCTCTTCTAGGAATCCCTACATATCTCAATGTTCAACCATCTTGACATTGTGTTTGACCTCTCTGTCTCCACCTTAATCAAGGCATTAATTTTTTTTTTCAAAGTGTAATTTTCTCCAAACATTCAATCAGAGTACACCAACGTAGCAAAGTTATTCCCCCTAGCAAATAGGGGACTCTGCTGTTTCCAAAGCATGTCCTAGCCTATAGAACGGTTATTCTTTTATTTATTTATTTATTTTGTTTCTTGAATCATAATACCTCAGGCACACCACATTTGCTTGCTATAATACGAGCAGTCTCAAGAGCTCTCTTTAAATCAGATGCGTACACGGCAGAAATTACCGTCTCTTTAGAGAGTCGATCAGCCACCTTCAGGAAAAGCAGGTAGTTTAACAAGCATGCAGTTCTTATAAAGAAATAAATAATCTCAGCAAGGTAGACTTACTGCAGCTGCTTGTTGTCTCCCTACTTCATTCAGTTCGACATCCAGGTGTCCCTAATTATTAGGCATATATCAAATAAATAAATAAATAAATAAATGCACAAAAAATACATTACAAAGAAACAATATAATTAATACAGTACATTACTCATCAAACCGTAAAGAATAGTAAACTACAGAACACCATGATATTTTGATATCACACGGTTTTATAAATGTTCTTAGAGAATAACAACCTTTAAACAGAATAGGTTACAAAAGAATGATGACAAAGTTACTTTGTAAAATTTGACAAAAATATATTTGCCTCGTAATAATGACAACATAGTGGTTCTTAGGCCTCGTTTGGGAACAGACTAATTTAGTAATTTTTTGGCTATTTGGCTAAAAAAGTAGGTAAAAAAAACTTATATGTTTGGGATGACTTTTTGACTAATTACGAAAAGATGTGCAAAAGTAGAGAGAAAAGAGAATCTTTGATTTTTTGGTATGAGTTGTTGGCTTTTTGGCTAAAAATGTAACTTTTTGGCTTTTTGGCTAAAAAGGTAAGTCTCCAAACGGGGCCTTAATATTGCCAGTGCATCCCTTGAGTGGAAAGGCTAGAACAGTAGTGAGCCACATGAAAATGGTCTCACACAACACTAAATGGAAATGGTTAAAAATCTAATCAAATATACATATATAGATCATCTACCCACTTTGAATACAAAGACTTCAAATGGTCCAAAAATAGTTGCATCAACGGAAAGAAGAGACTAGCATCATATTTAATAATTATGCCTCCAAGTGTCAAATAATCAAAGAGACAAACCTTCTACACAAAGAGGAATGAGAGAATGCAACATGATGATAATACAAAAACTCGTGATTTCAAAGCAAATGATGCATCTTGTTGAATTTGAAGAAATCATTTAGATCAATTTGGGAAAGGATAGTGACTTAATTTAATAAATACTTGGTCACCTAGGGAGGAAAGAAGGAAAATGCTATATGCCTCAAACTTTTTACCAAACAAATGACCAAATATCTTATATGGGTGTGGGGTACACAAACATTTGATCATTTGTTTGATAGAAAATTTGGTATACCTAGCATTACCCGGAAAAGAAAACTAGTGAGATGTGATGATAGAAGGAAAAGAACATATGACAAGGCCAAATTTTATTGAACAAGATTAGAGCTTGAATGTGACAATGCAAGTGTTCTAATTCTGGAGTGCATGAGTAATTCCACAACCTTTTTTCCATCCTTCAATTCACCAATTTCATTACCAAGTATCAACCCTTGGTGTAGGCTGTTTGGGAACTTTAATGAGGTCTTTCAACTTGACTTCAAATTATATCAATAATAATATTTCTGTGTAAACATCTACAGTTTCCAATCTCTTTCAAATTTTAATTTTTGGAAGGCCAATGTGTGATGTCTCAGATAGTGTGTTTTACCAAATTTTGGAAGACAATGGGACTGTAGGGGGGGACAACTTGAAGCTGAAAGATTGCGATGGGAGAATTTCATATGAATGGGAAACGGCAACAATAATTACAAATCAATGGAGTGCAACAGAGAATGCTATTTTTGAGTGGTTGTGAGAATTATTTTTGAATAATGTCTCACTTGCACTCCATTGATTTGCAATTATTTGGGCAGCTTCCCATAGTAACACAAGTTGTCTTTTCTTTCAAAAAAGTTTAACGGGTGATGGTGCATAGTGTACTAACTTAGTTATGACATTACTAGTGATATCATTCATTATATAAATTATAAATATTAAAAATCTTTAAAATTGTGCTACAATATTAATTAATACACTAATTGATAAATTTAATTGGTGCATATAGTATCATTCAAATGTTTGATTTAATTACATGATGACTGACAAGACAGAGACAAAGAAATTAATTAAAGTAACATCTTAGATTTCAAAGAATAACAATGTTAGGTATCATGAAAAATCTTTCATGAAAATAATCATAAAAGTTTTGTGATCTTTGAATTACACTTAGAATAAAGCACAACACACTAATCAAACTAATCCAAAGATTATTTTCATGAAAAATTTTTAGAAAAAGGGTGACCTGAACTCTACTAACAGAATCTGTCACATCATTAACACATCAGCTCCCACAATCTCAGCATAATCAGAGTTGGCATTGGCAATGTTCGATTCGGCCATATTCAGAGAGAGAGAGAGAGAGAGAGAGAGGAATGGCGGCTAAAGTTGGAGGTTATTTATTGTGGTGGGTGGTTGTTGAAGAACAGTTGGAACGCACTGAACGTGCGGAGTCTGTACGCTAACGACGAATTCGAATTTGTTCCCTGCGGAGGAAGAGGGTTTGGTTACAAGTTCAGCATCATCTCATCTGATACAACCCAAGAAGACCACACCCCCACTTCGATTTCTCAATTTTGATTGTAACAACATTTCGATTATGTGGCGCCTTGAGGTTAGTTAGGGTTTTCGCCGTACAATTATTTTGTAAATTATATTTATCCTGCTGATTATTAATCAGGATGGAGTAACCAACACCTTCATAATTAAAGAAAACTTTACAAACAAATAAATTATATAAATAATAAGGATTTTTCTTAAGTGTGTAACTTACACCTTACACTTACGCCTTTCTGTTTGCTGTCCTGTTTTATGTTTACACCTTCCACTTACACCTTTTGTGTTTGTTGCATATGATGTACAACCTTAACAACACCCAAATAATAAATGTTACGGGGGAAATAGAAAAATAAAAAAATAAATGATATCCAAGCCAAGCAAAATGTTTAAAAAGAGAACACTTCGATTCTTAATATTGAGTCAGTCATACTTTATAAAAATGACACAAATAATTTAGGATAGATTACAAATACATCCTCTAAATTTGCTTAAAGTATAGATTGTTTTCTGTAATTTGAAAAATTACAAATATTCTATTGTCAGATGTTTTATTTAACATAATTAAAAAAATAAAATTTATAATTGTTCCTGTATACAATAATGACATTATCTAAATTATTAATTGAAACATATTTATAATATCATTAAAAACTGTTAATTGGCTTGATGATTTATAATAAAATGGGCGATTTGTTTTGAAATTAGAAATAGCAGTGGGTGAAATGTAATTTTCAGAACGACATGGAGCGATTCATATTTTAATCAAACCTCAAGGAGTGTATTTGTAATTTATCCAATAATTTACCTTATTTTTATTTTTGGGCAAAAATTGACTACCTTACATCGGTCTCACCCCAAAGTTTCTCTCATTCTTCTATCACCCAACTGTATTCTCATTTGAAACAAACTTAACTAATATCATCCGTAGAAATTGCTAATAAAGCTAACACATGGAATCGGACCCAACCCAAACCCATCACATGCTCAATTATTAAAAAAAAATTCAACATATATAAAATAGATTGAAAAATTATTTTTCATTCACATTTATCAATCATACATCAGTTGACCCAATCCAAACCCATCACATGCTCAATTATTGAAAGAACATCAACACAAAAATTAGATTATTTTTGTTCACATTTATTAACCATACGCCGGTTGATCCTACTACTACCGTTTTAAAGACGGCAGAATTTTTGGCTGCTTAAGTTAGTTTCCACAACTGAGATTGCTGTTGAGCCTATTGTGGTGAATGAAGGGCCTTTCTCTTGGCTACCCCCTCCCTAGACTTGGTTCCCTAAGGGCTAATTGCGATGTTGCTATTTAGCAAGGGACTAGTAAAGGGGTAGTTGCAGTGCTTGTGGGATGGCAGTCTGGCAGAGGCAAGTTGGCCGATGGTGCAATGCATAAGATTAGGATGTCTTGTGTCACTCAGGAGAGGCTTATGCAGTGAGGTTTGCATGCTTGTTGGCTGCACCGTATAATCTTTCCCTCGTTGAAGTTGAAAGGGATAATAAAAAGGTTATCCAGCTTTGTGTGTCGGAAGATGTTACACCATGGGATTGTGGGGCTATTCTGGAAGACATTCAGTCAATGGCAAGGCAGAGCTAATGGCGTTGCTCATTGGGTAGCTCAGGCTTCTTTACTATGTCAATTTCCCTTGAATTGGATGGTGGATCCTCCGCCAGCTCTTGTTTCTCGTCTTCTTTACTTCTCTTTGTATGTTTGTTCGATAAAAAAAAAAAATATATATATATATATATATATAGGGTAAGTTACAATTTATCTCTCTAAAGTTTCATTCATTCTCACTTTGGCTCTTTAAGTTTAATTTTTTTCACTTTGACTTTTCATGTTTGCAATCATTCCCACCTTGGCCCTTTAAATTTAATTTTTCTCACTTTAATCCTTCATGTTTGCAATTCATCCCACTTTGACCCTTCATATTTGCAATCTTTCTCACTTTATTCTTAAACTAACTTCCATCCAAAAAACTAACAGAATCTGTCACATCATTAACACATCAGCTCCATGTATGATGTAAAAAATTCACTAAAAATGCAAAAAATAAAAAATAAAAAACAAAAAAATTGGATTTTTTTTTTTTACTATTTAGCGAACTTTTTTTTAAAAATTTATTCATAAACATTATTACATTATAGATGCATTTAGATTAGATGCAACTAAAAAAATAAAAACAAATTTAACTAAAAAAAAAAGTTTATTAAGGACGAAAAAAATGAAAAATATATTTACTCAGATATTTGTATTGTCAATTCTGAAACAAAAATTTACTATCATTTTTTTTCGTCTTTAATGAACTTTTTTCTTTTTTTAGTTAAACTTATTTATTTTTTTTAGCTACATCTAATCTAGATGCATCTATAATGTAATAATGTTTATGAATAAATTTGAAAAAAAAAAAGTTCACTAAAGACAAAAAAAAAAAAAAAAATTTGTTTTTTATTTTTTATTTTTTATTTTTTGCATCTCTAGTGAATTTTTTTATATCACATATGAAGCTGATGTGTTAGTGATGTGACAAATTCTGTTACTTTTTTGGATGGAAGTTGGTCTAGGAGTAAAGTGGGAAAGACTACAAACATAAAGGGTCAAAGTGAGAAGGATTGCAAATAAAAAGGACCAAAGTGGGAAGGATTATAAACATAAACGGCCAAAGTGAAAAAAATTAAACTTACAGGGCCAAAGTGAAAAATAGGTAAAACTTCTTAGAGTCAAAGTGTAATTTATCCATATATATAGCTAAAGTTGTCTAATGTCGTGTTTGGTTAGGAGATTTGAAAAGAAATATGAAAAATGAAAGAAAAAATATATGTAAAATTAAGTAAAATATAAATTTATTTACGTTTTATTTTATTTTTTTCTTTCATTTTATAAATCACTTTTCAAATTCTTCTATCAAATCCAACGTAAAAATTATAAAGTCTAGACCATGGCCAAGCGGCAGTTATTCTCGGCCATGTGGCAGTATTATTACAGGAGACATTTGTGGCATTTGTCTAGACCATAAGCCTTATAATATTAATAGAGTGAATGATAATGAAAAAATTATTTGATAATTTCAAAATATATGAGTGATTTTTTATTTCTCAATTTCTTTATACAAATTAATTAACTTTATTTAATTTGTAAAACTTTTTACTATGTCTTTTATTAAAAATATCATAAAAATAATATCACATGTTATTTTGAAATTATTGGATAAGACTTCCTTTGAAATCTCACTAAAATGTTAATTTATTGATTAAAAATAATGTTAAAAGAAAGTTAACGTTTAAAAATTTTGGTATATTCTTAATTTTTTTAATAATATTATTAAATGATATAAGTTGATTTTTAAATAGAAAATAATTTTTTTTAAAACAGAGTATGGAATAATTTTCAATGCCCAAAACATAAAAAGTGAAGCCTCATTTGACAAGTAGTTTATAAGCCAACTTATAGATTTTTTGAATTATTTAAGTCACAATATCTTTTTATTTTTTATACATTTATTTTTGTAATAATTAAAAAAATCAATCAGCTTGTTTGGTTTTAATTTTCAAAAAACAGTTTTTAAAATATTTTATTTTTTTATTTTAATGTTTTTAATGAATTTTTTAATATTTTAAGTATTTTTTAAAAAAAATTTAGACACACCTACACTTAAAAAGTAGTAATATTTGTGAAAAAAATCTTTAAAAAATTTACTAAATACCAAAAAATACAAAAAAAAAGAAAAAAAAATTTAATATATTTTTCGTATTTTTGTGTATTTATTAATTTTTTAAAACATTTTTTTATAAATATTTTACTATTTAGATATATCTAAGTAAGGTGCATTTAAAAAATAAAAAAATTAATTAATATTTTAAAAATATTCATTAAAAATAAAAAGAATATGAAAATTTTAATTTTTAAAAAATTAAATTAAAAAAACTAAGGCCAAGTTTGGCATGTCCAGGAAAAGTCAAAAAGTCAAAAAGTTATTCAAAAATTTAAAAAGTTAACACTATTCACCAAAAGTCCACAATTACGGTTGCACAACTCCCGATTCTAATTTTCTCCTACAAACTAATTTTTACAATTTTTTATTACACATTTTTCCATAAAAAGTCAAAAAGTTAACTCAAACATCTATATTTTTTTCCTCAATTTTTTAGGTCAAAAAGACAAAAAGTACACTTGTTTAGGACACCCCAAACAACCCCTAAATACAAATGGCTGAATTTATTTTTTACTTTCCAAAACAATCCTCATCCTACTATATCAATTCCAGTTCAAAAAAAACGTCTAAATTAATTAAAATTTTAAAAATATTCATTAAAAATAAAAAGAATATGAAAAATTTAATTTTTAAAAAATTAAATTAAAAAAACTAAGGCCAAGTTTGGCATGTCTAGGAAAAGTCAAAAAGTTAAAAAGTTACTCAAAAATTTAAAAAGTTAACACTATTCACCAAAAGTCAACAATTACGGTTGCACAACTCCCGATCCTAATTTTCTCCTACAAACTAATTTTTACAATTTTTTATTACACATTTTTCCATAAAAAGTCAAAAAGTTAACTCAAACATCTATATTTTCTTCATCAATTTTTTAGGTCAAAAAGATAAAAAGTACACTTGTTTAGGACACCCCAAACAACCCTTAAATCCAAATGGCTGAATTTATTTTTTACTTTCCAAAACAATCCTCATCCTA